AAAAGTAAAAAAAAAAAAAAAAGTCATAGTATAGTAAGGCGTAAAAATCACAAAAATGTCATAGTATAGTAAGGCATAAAAAGTCATAAAAAGGTTGTAGTATAGTAAGGCATAAAAACTTCATAGTATACTAAGGCATAAAATGTCATAAAAACATCATAGTATAGTAAGGCATAAAAAGGCATAAAAACGTCATTCATTCATTCATTCAATCTTTATTAGGGACACAGCTATGGGTTGGGGGGTCCATAGAAAAAAACAACACAAAAAAACATGAAATCAACTCCAAACAAAAGACATTCCACAATACTCATACATTTGCATACAGGCTGCAATGCCAGTGGTTCCACAATTTGATGAGAACCTGACAGAGCCGAGTTCAGGGTTGGTTAAGGCTGAAATAATACCATAGTATAGTAAGGCATAAAAATGTCATAGTATAGTGAGGGATAAAAGCATCACAGTATAATAAGGCATAAAAAGTAAAAAAATAAAACGTCATAGTATAGTAAGGCATAAAAATCACAAAAACGTCATAGTGTAGCAAGGCATAAAAACGTCATAGTATAGTAAGGCATAAAAACGTCATAGTATAGTAAGGCATAAAAAGTAAAAAAATAAAACGTCATAGTATAGTAAGGCATAAAAATCACAAAACCATCATAGTATAGTAAGACTTAAAAACGTCCCAGTATAGTAAGGCATAAAAAAGTCATAGTTTAGTAAGGCATAAATGTCATAGTATAGTACGACATTAAAAGTAAAAAAAAAAAAAAAAGTCATAATATAGTAAGGCGTAAAAATCACAAAAACGTCATGGTATAGTAAGACATAAAAAAGTCATAGTTTAGTCAGGCATAAATGTCATAGTATAGTACGACATTAAAAGTAAAAAAAAAAAAAAAAGTCATAGTATAATAAGGCATAAAAATCACAAAAACGTCATGGTATAGTAAGACATAAAAAAGTCATAGTTTAGTAAGGCATAAATGTCATAGTATAGTACGACATTAAAAGTAAAAAAAAAACAAAGTCATAGTTTAGTAAGGCATTAAAAGTCATAAAAACGTCATTCATTGATTCAATCTTTGTTAGGGACACAGCTCATGGGTGGGCTGAAATAATACCATAGTATATAGTAAGGCATAAAAATGTCATAGTATAGTAAATCATAAACGTCATAGTAAATTAAGGCATTAAAACATCATAGTATAATAAGGCATAAAAATATCATAAAAACGTCATAGTATATTAAAGCATAAAATGTCAGAAAAACTTCACAGTATAGTAAGGCCTTAAAAACATCATAGTATAGTAAGGCATTAAAACATCATAGTATAGTAAGGCATTAAAACATCATAGTATAGTAAGGCATTAAAACATCATAGTATAGTAAGGCATTAAAACATCATAGTATAGTAAGGCATTAAAACATCATAGTATAGTAAGGCATTAAAACATCATAGTATAGTAAGGCATTAAAACATCATAGTATAGTAAGGCATTAAAACATCATAGTATAGTAAGGCATTAAAACATCATAGTATAGTAAGGCATTAAAACATCATAGTATAGTAAGGCATTAAAACATCATAGTATAGTAAGGCATTAAAACATCATAGTATAGTAAGACTTAAAAACGTCCTAGTATAGTAAGACATAAAAAAGTCATAGTTTAGTGAGGCATAAAAACATCATTAAAACGTCATAGTATAGTAAGGCATAAACGTCATAATGTGGTAAGGCATTAAGAATTAAAAAAAAAAAAAAAAAAAAAGTCATAGTATAATAAGGCATAAAAATCACAAAACCGTCATAGTATAGTAAGACTTAAAAACGTCCTAGTATAGTAAGACATAAAAAAGTCATAGTTTAGTAAGGCTTAAATATCATAGTATAGTACGACATTAAAAGTAAAAAAAAGAGTCATAATATAATAAGGCATAAAAAAGTCATAGTTTAGTAAGGCATTAAAAGTCATAAAAACGTCATTCATTGATTCAATCTTTGTTAGGGACACAGCTCATGGGTGGGCTGAAATAATACCATAGTATATAGTAAGGCATAAAAATGTCATAGTATAGTAAATCATAAACGTCATAGTAAAGTAAGGCATTAAAACATCGCAGTATAATAAGGCAAAAAAATCACAAACGTCATAGTATATATAGTAAGGCTTAAAAACGTCATAATACAGTAAGACATAAAAATGTCATAAAAACGTCATGCTATAGCAAGTCATAAAAAGTCATAAAAACATCATAGAAAGTCATCACAAAATGTCATAGCATTGTATGGAATAAAGACGTAATAGTCCAGCTAATGTCTTCATTACTTATCTCCCTACTCCCTTTAACACACTTCGTATTAGTAACCCCATCTTAGTTATTTGGCATCATGGTCATACTCTCTCTGCCAATCCCTGTGAGTGTTTATACTAATAGAGTGTGTTTGGAATGCCTTGATAAATCAGTGAAATATAAACCAACTAAAACAATAATGATAAATGGATATTGGCTAAAGATGAGCTCTTGAAACCTGCAGCATTAATGTTTTATTGTTGAGCACTGAGCTAAGATATTTGTCAAACGCTTTAGCAAGGAAATAAGCTGTTTTGAATTTAGATTTGGTAAATTGGCAGGAAGCAATAATAACATTTGAAATGGGAGGGGAAACCTTTTATGTGCTGGGATGGATATCTAATATCAATGCTGTCCCACAGATGAGCCAGGTTTGGGTGAAAATTACCCCAGCCAAACAGAGATGGCCCTCATCTACCAATCAGCTGCCTGGATCCTGGCAGGTCTCCTCCTGGCCATCATCATCTTCCTCATTGTGGCGTTACTCATCAACAAGAAAAAGAAGTGGGTGCAGATGTCCTGCTACAGTGCACCAAAGAAGGTGAGAGGCACTGGAATAAAATGCTGCTAAATTATGCAGACTCCCTCTTATAAATAGCAGTGACTGCAGTGTTGATGTGTGTATGGGTCAAGGAGAGTTTAGCCTGATCTTCCACCTTCTGCCACAGCCAGTGCTAAACCTGTCATGACATAAGGATTAATGTAGTTTACCTTTGCCTTGCACTTTCAACTGGAACAAGGTCATGTCTGTCATAAAATCTACAACTCCACCATGAAATGAGATTGTGGTAGGGATTGTTTTCATAGGTGTTGATTTCATGAGTATGTGCTGTCTAAACCTACGTTATGAACAGGTTTCAATCTAAAATTGATTTTCTAATTTATTTTTCTTTCCTCTCCTTAGACGGTGATCCTAAAGAAGCATGTAAACAAGAACTCAGTGGTCTACATGGAGCCCTCCAAGGAGAACAAATTTCAGAACGTGAAGAACGACTGCGGCATCATCCACTTCTCTCCAGACATGAGCTCCCCCTGCGCGGACAAGATGACCATCCCCAGGGCCAAGCTGAGCATGGGCAACGACTGGACGTCGCGCTAGAAAACACACCACTCAGACTCTGCAGATCGGAGCTGTCCGGCACCTCCCACTCTCTCTTAACTGCTGTATCCGAGGTGATTCGCGGGCACCACCACGTTCGCACCCTTTTCTCTGTGTGACAGTAAAAACCGAGGACGCTTTACAAGAGACAAAGCAAGCGACCTCTGTTTCTTTTATCATGTGTCCATATTCTTCTGTGTTTGGACCTTTTTTTTTTTTTTTGGGTGGAGTGAGACATCGGGAGGTGGATGGACGGGTGGACATGTAAAGGACACAGCCACTCTGGGCTCTGCTTTAAAACAGAGAAGGAGGCAGCCAGAGAGGCTCCTCTGTCAGAATCAGACTTTGACTGTGAACATTGTAATATTATTGCTTAATATTGCCTCCTTTTTGAAACTGGAACTTGGAGGCAGTAAGAGGAGCATAAAAAGCTTTAGGACAGGGGTTTGGGCTGTAGTTAAAAGGGGACGGAGAGGATACTGCCCCCCCCCCAGCCCCACCCCTGAGTGCATCAGTGCTTCATGGATGTAATTATCATCATCATCAGCAGGGAGGCCAAAGGAACTGATAATCCAGTTGGATCAAATGGAGTTCAGCAGCCAAATCAAGTCAACAGGCTTTATATAGACCCCCTGATCCAAACCCCTGCTTTAGAATGTGTGGTTTCCATCTTAGTTTTTGTATATTTTTACAGTATTTGTACTAGTTGTAGTTGTTATTGGCCACCTCTTGTTTTTTTTTCTATCATGGGTGTCTCCATGGGGCCAGATTGAATTATTTTTGAAAATGCCCATCTAAACATTCCCCACCATCAGGATGTTCAAGGAAGGACACGCTTCCCATATAAAAGCCTTGTTTCTACCTTCAAATGACCCGAGTCATTCCATCCAGAAAACCCCAACATCAAACCACAATTGTACAAAGGAAACGTGAATTCTCTCTCTAAACTGGTCAGCCATTCAGCAGCTAATCATCTTCAACTTCCCAGTCAGCCTCATCTGAACCGGGCTCCTTCCAGAAGGAATCAGCCCTGTCAGTTGTAATTCATCATCTCAAAAATCAGTTGAGTTGGAGTTGAAACGGAGTGATATTCATCCAGGGTGAATGTCATTTTATTGACAGTAGACGAGAGAAAATGGTGCCAGATGCTTCATCTGGACCAGTGTGGAATGGCTTTGATATCGTGCCATGCCTCACTTCTTAACTTCATTCACAGCTCTGTCTCTCTCTCTGTCTCTGTGTGTGTGTGTGTGTGTGTGTCTGTGTGTGTGTGTGGTGGAGCTACTGTTCACACCGAATGTTAATGATGGTTAGTTATCATTCTTTTTTTAAAGCCTTAATTCTATAGCCTTAATGCTTTTTCTTTGTTATCTTGTTTCATTTATTAACTGTGTTAGCCAATATCAAGGAATCTAAAAAAAACAAAACAGTAATTTATTCACCCATCATTAAGATGAACAGATTGCCACTGATGGTTCTCATCAGCTCTTATACTCTCTATACTGGTGAATTATATGATGTGTGGACAAGAGATTTGAAGGGGAGCCTGTTTGTAACTGTACATAATGGTACACATTACAACATCAGAGCATGTTAAAGAGACATAGCACTTTTCTTTGGAGCCAGTGTTTTTTAGAAAGCCCACTGCAGGATTCTTGAAGGGATAAAGGCCCTAATCAGGGATTTGATAGGCATATTAAGCACACCACTTAAACCACTCAAGTGAACACGCTGTTGCAGCTAGAGGCTCCGCACCAATCTGATCAGTACGGAGAAGGATGGAATCTGAGCAGCATTACGAAACAAAATGAGGTTTCGTATGAAAAAAGGTTTTGGATCAGAGTTCTCGATCCATTGCCAATTTCTCAATACAAAGACCATTCTGATGCCAAAATTGGTTGGAGACCAATTAATATTGAAGTGTTTTAGTAACAGTAGATTTGTGTCTGTCTGAATCATGACCATGTGCTTTAAAATGAAGAGGTGACTGTAAAAACTTACGCAATTTCTTTGTTCTTCTAATGTGAAAAAAAAAAAAAAAAAAAAAAAAAAGTAGTTTAAATTAGTAGAACAGAAGAGTACCTTATTTATTTTTTCACATAGCTTTATTTATTAATACTAAACTATAGTTTGAGATTTTTTTTTTTTCTTTTTGAAAAATGAACTTTTGGTAGCCAAAGCTGCTGTACAATGTAGATCATTTACCATTTCTATCTGCTATATTCTATACAACCTTATTTATTTCACTGTTGCAGACCCTGTAAATATGTTTCCTAGATGATGAACTGTAACATTTACACTTATTTTGAAAAATAAATGTGTGAACCAAAGTGGCCGCACTGAATTTCAATGATACTGAAGCTTGGTTGGAGCAGCACGTCCCCCAAAGTGCAGTGATGTCATCCAACATGGTATCTGTTAGTGGTTTTTACTTCACTCGCAGATTTGTAGACTCACGCACATCTGGTCCTGGACTTCTGCTCCAAATGGGAATTTGTCTTCTCTTAGTTGCTTTAAATCTGATCGTTTCTCTTACCATGGTTGTTCTCTTATCTCAGTAGCACAAGCAGATGTGTTAAGTGTTGGTGGCTTGTTTCTGAGCAGGGATGAGGTCCTTTGAGATTTGAGTGCTAGCGAAGACCAAGTAGACCTCTCATCTATCCAATGGGCTAATAAAACACCGGAAAACACGAAGACAACCAGCCAAAGCTGGAAACCTGGATAATCCTCAGTGCAGACTGCACTGTTGTTTTGACTTGTCCGTCAAAGCTTGCTCATAAACTTCAAGGTAAGGAAGCTTTTCCGGAAGGATCAATTAAGCAAACAGTAGGGTTAGTTTCCCAGACCTTGAAAATGTAAAATCCTACAAAGCTTTTAGACTATTGAAAATAAACTGAACAATAACTGGATTCATAATTATGATTAGATCGTGATTTTACGTATATACACAGTATATATAGATATGATTGCGAGGTGCACATATTATCAAGACCATTAATCATCAGGGTCCTCAGAGTGAAAACAGCTGTGTTGTTCTCATGCACATTTAAAAACACACATCACAGCATGTGGGAAAAAAGCGATTTATTCCTACTATCCACCTTGTTGCTAATTAGAAATGTAAAACTGTTGCATTCATGACACGTAGTCTTCAGTAAAAAGCCCTTTCTCTTTCAAATTCTACAGTTCTATTAAGGCAAAGTCCGGTAAACCTCTTTTCTACTTTTGTCTTAAGAAGACCACAAAACACTGGAACTTTGGGAAGGTTATGGAGTTTGGGTTGAATAGCTCAGCTACTATTCAACATGGTTTAAAAAAAAAAAAAAAAAAAAGTCTTTGGGGCTCACATTATCCGGATGGAAAGGTATGAATCAGTCAGTGTTCCAGCAGATTCTGTAGGTCCATGGATGAAAATATTCTCAGAGTCCACTGAGCCTTCAGCAAAGCTAGTTGTCCCCAGTTGAACAGGTCAGTAGAACACCTCGGTTTTCACAGCAGGATCTTGTAGTAGTCGTCCTTGTAGCTGTACAGGACCACCACAGCCACCCTGCAAGAGGACATCTGTCAGTTTAAAGATTTAAAACAACTTAAAAAACAAAAACCCGCTGTGGAGGATTTCCAAATGGAGCATCTCAAAATTAGGACAATGAAATTCAGCCGAGAGGGTTTCCAAAATCTCAGATTTGTCTAGGTTAGGAGGTCAGTCCCGTTGAAACAACACAGGATTCAACCCTGTCTAGAGCCATGTCCAGGGTAAGAAAGTCACAAAACTCAGTGTAGAAATGAACATTACCTACATACTTGAAAAGGCAAAATCACTATTATAAAAATATTTTTATAAAGTTATCACTTACGCTTCAGTTTTTAGCCAGACTAGTGTAGCAGATGGTGAAGTCTGTTGTTTGGTTAGTCCATAACATTGTTCCAGACTGAAATATCTCAGTGACTATTTGATAGATTGTCATTAAATTATAATCAAATTGTTATCACTTTGAGGATTCCTCAACTTTTCATCTGTCAGCATTATCGGCTCAAATATTCAATTTGTCCAATACCTGCAGAGCTACTGACATTCATCCGCCTCAGCTGTACTGTGTTCAGTGCTAATTAGCGAACGTTAGCATGCTAGCACCCTAAGATGGTGAACATGGTAAATTTTACACACCTACAAAACATGTGTTAGTATTGTCAATGTGAGTCATGTTAGCATTTAGTCAAAGCAGTGCTTAATGCCATGTTCATGTCACATGATTGTAATTTTGAATTTCTGACTTGGAAACAGAATTACATCAACGTCCAAGTCGTAATCAGAAATGGGAAACTGGGATTTTTATTTTGGAGAGCTCCAATATATCCCTATTGGCACACACAAAAGAAAAAAAACCAAATATGTTCACCTCACATCAGCAAAAGACTCTTGTTCACTATAATTAAACGCAAACTGAATAGATATGGTGTTCTATTGTCAATGAACAATATTTTAATCCTCACACAACCAGCTCTAACCATACAACCATCCTGGTACCATGCAGGTCTTGCCCACTAAGGTTTCGGCTAAGGGGAAAGCTCACTTACCACGAAGCCCTTGGGATAAGTTTAGTTTATGGTCTTACTGCTGCCAGGTTACTACATGGGCCCTTCAGCTCAGTCATCTGGCCTTAGTTGCCTTTGCCCCACATTTGACGAAAACAACCAAACAAGCGTATAAAAACACATGCTGAATGTATCCATTGTTGCCTCCACGACGCTCATTTATCAGTAAAGACCCCCCCCACCCGCCTTCAATGGCAAATCAAACACACAGCAGAGACAGGAAATTAAAACCAACTGCTCTGGAAAGGGAGATGGGAAGGCAGAAAGAGGGGCTTTGATTTTTCTTTTTTGTTACCTTCTCATTCATGAAAGAGAAAATCCGTTGAATCCCTCACAGGGTTGCTCTCTATGGGCATTCACTAGCATCACAACATGAGAAGCTCAAACACTGAGGATTTAGTCTGGGATTTGAAAAAAACATTTTGCTGGGGAGCTTGGGAATATTAACCGCTGCTCCATCCACAACCACAGCAGTAGAAGAAGTTAACCCCCCCCCCCCCCCGCCTGCGCTGTATCTCGGTGTCAATCAACCTGGGTGTTAAGACACAGACATCAGAAGACCAAACAAGGAAAATCCTTCTCAAGATTTCACCTCAGGAAATGGGATCAACTGAGGATTTAATGTTCTGCAAGGCGGTAGTTATCCGTCTAACAGCTCTCTTTGAAGGGCTGACTGTCACTGTTACACCTGGAGTGTGTGGGCTTGCTGGGAGCACTGGAGTGGCAGCTGCCCGTAAAAGGAGGTTTGCCTCTAAGTGGTCTTTAATGTATTTCACTGTTTGCCTCGGGTTTCATTTTAATAAAAATAACAAGTCAGAAGTGGAAGGAAATGTGGGAGTGCGCAGAGAGGCGAAGCTGTGGGTCTGTGGCTCATCTTCCACGAGGGCTCCCGCTGAGACGGGATGTCTCATAACTGTTTGTTCGGAAAATGTCTGTGCAGTATCAAGCTGCTGTTGTTTCTTTACTTTTGAGGGGGAAAAACTTAAATGCTAAACATTTGACACTAAGAGCGAGTATGTAAAAAGGGAAAGAGCAATTTTCACTTTTGGGTTCTTGTCCTTTCCCTTATTTAAATCTTGTCTTTCCTTCATTTCCTCGTTTTTTAATTTCCTGACTTGTTCCAGATTCATTCAGGTGTTCTTCCACATCAAAATAATTTATTTTATTCATTAAAATCCGGAAATATCTCAAGAACTATTTGATGGATTGACACAAAATCTTGTATGGACATTCATGGTCCCCAAACAATGAATCCCACTGACTTTGGTTGACAACTTGGACGGATTGCTATCAAATTTGGTTCAGAGAATCATGTTCCCCAAAGGATGAATTGTAATAAACTTGTTGATGAAATTTCAATTTGTACATTTTGCAATTTTTTGTGGCAAATCAAGCATGCTATAACATGAAACTGTTCACGTGTTAGCACATGGATGTTAGCATTTAGCTCAAATCACCACTGCAGAGGCTCACAGAGCCATTAGCATGGCTGCAGACTCTTCAGTTTCATTCTCATTAAATAATGATATGATAACTAGCGAGGCTTGGCAAGACACATTACTAAATGTGCAAGAATTTCATTGCATGCAAAAGCCCCCCAAATCACACATGCAAACGCACCTTTTTGCAATTTTGTAATTGTGGATCTCATCACAGATGGACTTCAGGTAGCGCTGCTTTGGGAGACGAGACAGCAGAGTCTTCACGCTGCTGTTGAACTGCTCTTCACTGTCAAACTAGAAAATAAAAGAGAAAGAGCAGAGGTTACCACAACACAATGAGTACAAGTGAAGGCTATGTGACAAAATGCTGCAAAAACATACACCAAACTCACTGACATCGAACAAAGCCCGGCAGTTTTGTTTTCACTGTCAGAAATTGTGGCGACAATCCAACGACATGCCTCGCGAGCTGTCATTTTCTATGTTTGTTCAGACTGCAGAATCAAAAAGCAGACTGCATTTTGTAAGAATGAATGGAGTTTTTCATGTGCAGACTTAGCGTATATTTTTGCATGTCAAGTGTAGCAGAGCAGTGAAGCTACAAAGCTACAGTGGGTTTATAGATTTCTTTGGTTCCTTGTGTGTTTTTTGGTAATTTGCCATATCTAAAACAGGCCTTTCCTGCACGCCTGGCTATACACACTGTGTATTGTCATGCGTTTTATATACCAAATGTGTTTTCTTTGACACATGTGCTGTGAGGCGCTGACTATATAGGTGGCCCATTCATTTATAGAGTGGAGGCTTTTGCTTATATAACAGCAGTGTTAAGAGCATTTTCTTCATGTTTCTCAGCACAATATAATTAAAGTTTTTTTTTTTTTTTTTAAACCTACGTTGAAGGGAACCCAGCTTTTTATGAGTGCAGTCTTGGTCAGGAGTTTTGTTAACCGTATTGCGTGTCTGTTGCATATGTGAGCCTTGTAAACGGAGTATAAGTTAGACCCTCTAACAGGTCTCCCTGGCTGTGGAAAAAGGCCGGGGTGTTCCCTCACGCCACTCCTCGTCAGACAGGACTGTAAGGAAGGAGACGGGATCCCCTCTTCCCGTCTCGAATCCTGACCTCTATTGGCTGTTCTTTCCACCCCACCCCACCCCTCCCTCCCTCCCAACCTCCTCCCACCCTTCATTACAATGCAGCTTTTTATTAACTCTGCAATGTTCTTGATGAAGCCAACAAGGCACTGACCTCGAGAGACAGGAAGTTGATCAGCGTTTCCTTCAGCAGGTCCACCTGTGGGATATAAAAAAAAACAAACAAACAAAACAAGCAAGGTTACACAGAAACACAATGGAGCCTTATCTCACGCTGCAACAATTCCACATACTGTACAGAACAACAACATATTACGCATTTTCATAGGAAGAGGCCACATTACAGTCGAGTACTGCAGTCATGACCAAACTAATAATACCAACCGTTGCACCCGCTGCCCAACAGGTTGTGTAATTCTTTCAACACAAGATAATCCAGGCCTCTCCGGCACCAGAAAATTACTCATAATTCAGCTTTCACAATGCTCTCACCAGGCCTGAAAGCGCTCCATGCCCCTTTTCCAGGAATGGACTAATGACCTCCCGGGTTTATCATTGGAAAATGAATACTGTTGTGTTCCAGTCTGACTGATAAACACGCAGGTTCATGTCAGGTGCTAACATGCACCAATGAAGAGTTACAGGCCTGTGTAACTGCCTACCAGAATCAAGGTGATTATGGCTGTTATGTTTCAATAACTCGTATTTACTGTCGCGTCGCTGATGCGATCCAGACCCCGACAGGGATGACAAATGTATTCTGAATATGCTGCAATATG